GAAGGAAGGAAGGAAGGAAGGAAGGAAGGAAGGAAGGAAGGAAGGAAAGAAGAGAGGGAGGAAAAAGGGGGGTAGCAGGCAAGCAGAAAACCAGGCACCTTTACATAAAGGTCAAACTAACAATATTAACTTGCAGTATTACAAGTAAGAATGGTGGTGACCTTTGAAGATGAGGTAAGTGACCAGAAGGCTCCAGAGCCAAAGGCTTTGGAAGTACTAATAATCTCTGGGTCTAGGGAATTTTTTATTTTATCTATTACTTTATTTGCGCATATCAAGATACAGAGCACATAAGTCAGAAGACAACTTGCACGAGTCAGTGTCCCGTCCCCCCAGCCTGCACCAATGGATCCCAGAAACCAAACTCAGGTCATTAGGCTTAGCGGCAAGCACGCTCACCTCCTGAGCCTTTTGTCTGCCCTGAGTACAAAGTCTATTTGTAGGGTGACTATGTCATACTTTTCTACAGGCATTAAAGTTTAATACTGTTCATTTTCAATTAATATTGCTTTGATTTAGCTTTTCTGAGACACAAGAGAGTTGATAACAGATATTATAAAAGAAAATCCACAGGCTGGACTTTTTGGTATAGCTATCATTCTACCAATATAACATGCTAGAACACAGATGTTATTTTCTGAAGGCCAGCCTGTACTTGTAAAGCGGCAAGGACGGGGTAGTTAAACAGTATGGGGGGACAAGAAGTTACAGGGAAAAGGGTCCCTTTGCAACATGCCTTCATCTATAAATGGGAATAGTAACAAGCTTTTCCCAGCAAAATTACTACGTGGTCTCAAGAGTCCAAGACTTTAAAACACTCAGCATTTGACAGCATCCTTTCTAGGCAGTCACACAGCAGTAACAACAGACAGGCTAACACTCTGAAAGGACTGAGACTTTTAAATAAATTAGTTAACAAACCTGAGGAGAGGAAGATTCACTTCTATTAATGCCATCTGGAGATTTTGTAGCTTGAGTTGATGCATTCTAAGAACAAGAAAGAACATCATAAAAACGACAGGAAACTACAGTTTTAAAACTGTTAAAAACAAAATAGTAAGCAGACCTAGTAAATACTTTTCTCTATTGAACAAAATTAGTAATTGTTTATTAGAATATTTTCATGCATGGCAAAAGTAGTGTGGTTAAGTATTTTAGAAAATACTTTGCTGTTAAAAAAAAAGAAACTAGACAGCAAAGATTAGTGTGCAGCAAATTTATTTCAAGCTAATCAAACACCTCTTCCCTTATGTGCCCAATTTTGTCCCCATGACAAAGAGTCAATAAGCAAAGCTCACTCAAATAGAAAACTATCCACAAAGAAGTCATGTCAACTGCTCCCTACACTAAAACCACATTCAAATTAAAATTATCTGGGCAAACTTACAAAAAATAAAAATATTGAAATGCTTCATTCACTTGAAGCCAGCAATTTAAACAAAACTAGTGTAAACATTCTCAGAAAGAGTCTAAGAAAATGTCTTCCACACATACTTTCTGCTTCCTTCCGCTGGGGAGCCCGCTGCTCCAAGGCAGAGTCACGGGCTGCGGAGGCGAGCCCACGACTGTCTGCACTTGGGAATTCCACGCTGCATGTACAGTGCACTGCCGCTCAGTGCCCCCACTGTAGGAGCAGCTCAGGAGAAAGCGCCACCTTGCTTTACAGACCAACTGCACCGCGCGCAGTCACAGCGCACGCAGTCACAGCCCAGGAGTCTAGCGCGGTGTGCTTCCTTTTCCTTTACAGATAATCCCAGGGAAGATGAAAGAAATGGGGGTGGCTTGTCCAAAGTATTCTCAAGGTTCTCAAGATAAGTTAGGTGTTCAATAAGAAGTTAATCGCTGAGTATCAGAAATTTATTGTGTCATAATTTAATCTCATTTTTCAGGAAAGAAAGCAAAATATTTACAAATGGAGAATTTCTTTGGCATCCTTGTTTTATGAAATGGGGTCTCACTAAGTTGCCCTTGTAGCCTTAAATTCCTAAGTTCGAAGGACCCTCTCCTGCCTCAGCTTTTCAAGTCTTGGTTTACAAATGTACACCACCACCCCAGCTGTAGGATTTAATTTCCTAAAAATATGCAAAGTGGGGGAATGTGTGTATGTGGAGGCCGGAAACAATGTGGCCACGGAAGTGTGAGAATGGTTGTGACGGATATGAGCTATTAGTTGTTAACACTGAGTAATGGACATGTGGTGAAAGGAATATTCATGTGTCATTATTACTATTTCTCATTCACAATATACTTCAAATTTTCCTTAGTTACACCTTTAAAGGACCTTCTCTTCCCTTTAAAATATGCTCTTAATTTCTATCAATCTAAGAGACTTCTTTAAAATTATATAGGAAAAAAAAAGTTGGGAGAAGATAGGAACTAACCTACCTTCTTATTCAGCACCATTTCAATTACATGGTAATATATATGACATACTATTTACAAAACACTATAATAATATCCTATAGGATCCAAAACAAACTTTCAATTATTAAGAAAGGTCTGAAAGGGCTCCATAAAATAGGTGGGGCTCTGGGGAGGACAGCACTAAGGCCCATATTCTGTTGAAGGGATGGCCTTATGCACAGCAGTGGTCCATTTGAGAAAGCCCCACAGCTCTTTAAATATCACCAAGCTCACAACACGTAGTACCTAAAACAATTCTTAAAACTTTCTTTTCTTTGAACTTTTTGTTTGCTTATTGTTTTGAGACGGGGTCTCACAATGTCCAGACTAGTCTTAAATTCAGTAAGCTGCTGAGGTTGGCCTTGAATTTCTTTACTTCCTGAATACTGAGATTACAGGCATGCATAACCATGCCCGGCTTTGGAAGTATTTTTAACTGTAAACCCTGCATTACCTAGCCAAGTCAGTAAAGCCTGGCTGAGGAGCACTGGTCTGGGGCACCGTGTGAACCTAAGACAGGACTCTGCACAAGCAGCGCTTGAGATTTTGGCATCTGTTCTACAGGGCTTCTGAAGCCCCAACTGGCTCACCTGCAAAGCCAACGCCCTCTATGCTGCTCATTTCCTTCTGCATCGCTGGGAGGCCTCTGTGCTGTGCACACCTCAACATCTCTGTCCAGCAGCTCTCAGAGGACAGGGCACAGTGTTTCCATCCTGGTGCTGGACGCCTAACACTGCCTGCTAACGCCTTGCCTGGGCTCTTTCTTCAGCCTAAGAACTCTCGGGGTCCTCCTCCCAGCGAGGAAAGCAGAGTTCACTCCACACACTGAGGCTCTAGGTCCCCACACTTTCCCTGGGGGGAATTCTCAGCGGGTTTGAAACCCGCTTGGCTGCCCAGACACACCCTCTTCTCTGCCAAACTTGTCTTCATTTTTTTTTTTTTTTCATTTTTCTGCAATCTTCTCAATTATACCTGTTTCAAGCTTTCTATGACCATGGTTTGGCTGCTGAGCTCTAAGGATACAGCTGTATTTGAAGAGTAGAGACAGAAGTATGTTTTTAAACTACATTAAGCCCCGACAAGGTAGCACATGCTTTTAACCGTGCTTTTACCTTGGAAAGCTGGAGGATCCCTATGAGTTGGAGGACAGAATGATCTACATAGCAAGTTCCAGGACATCCAGAGCTAATAACAGAAAGAACCTACCCACCCCCCAATAAACAAATAAAAACGTCTTAAAAAAAAAAACAAATTAAAGAAAACTCAGCTCTTGGTGAACTTGTAATTAATTCCCACTAAATTTTTACTATGATAAGTAATTATTCTAAAGTTCCTTTTGTCTCATGGAGAAATTCATGTTTTCAATCATGAACATATAAAATTTATATAAGATTAATTTTTCTAGTCTACTGAAGTTTATTTCTAAATAACTTAAAGCACTCATGTTTACCTTATAACATTAAGAATTGAATTATTTTATACTGTATTCATGACAGATATGTCTCTGAAGTTTCCATCACTCCTATATGCGTGTACAGAATGTTTTTCTTTTCTTTACTGTCTTTTTCCCTTCCCTTCCCTCCTTCTTTCCTTCTTTCAAATAAACTGAAAATTCTATGTAGCTGAGACTCCTGACTCAGCCCCAAATATCTCTGTAAACAGGAAGTATTCCTTGTAGCCAGAGGCAGCGAGAAAGCAGCTTTCCAAATGTCATTTGACACTCCATTTTCACCCTGAGCTGCTTTCTTCTCTAGAATAGAACTGAAGACCACTGCTGGTCCTGTATACACCAAGCCTTCACTGCCCACCTGGTTTAAGAACAACCAGCTACCACGTTAAACCAATTCTTAACACTTAGAAAAACTGAAAAGCCAGTTCAGCTGTCCTCCAAGGGAACCATTGGAAAGTAAACCCTGATACATTTTAATTTATTAAATTCCCATTTACCAGATACTCCAAATAGAAAGATATCTACATCCCCAAAATAAATCATATATGATCTACTTATTTTAAAAAATGAGACAACTGTTTCTTTTCATACTCAAAAAACACAATCATAAAACACAATATACTTTGTACTTAAAATGAACATGCTATAATAGAATCCACCTACCTATGCAATGTTGTTAATTAATGATTTATACAATGCATTATTTTCCTTAAAAAAAAAAAAAAAGTCAGTCACATCTCAAACACTCCTGGCTTCCTCCCAAGAGTAGAACAGATTTCTGACCATGCATACTGGTTTTTCAGTATGAGCACACATTTCCAAGAGACAAAACTAACAAGTAGGGGTGGCCTTCACTACATTAGTGGAAAGGAGATGTTACTGAGATGCTGTTAGTCACCACGAAGCAGCTAGCCAGCAAACTCAGCAACTAGTTCTTTGAGGTAAAGAATAGAGTTAGTAATGCAACACTGAAGATGCTCTGAGGGAAGTAAGTGATAAGCCACATGAGAATTACTGCTACAGCTGCCCAAATGTTGTGATTCCCACAAGGGAAGGCAGAAAGCGGTGGGAGGACTCACCACTCTGTCTCTCTGTGTTTTGTGCTGTTTGGAGGGATCCAAAGCAAAGATAGTGTACTCAGAGAGAAAGGCGGGCTCTGCTACCATCCCAGCTAGCAGCTGTCTCAGTCAGTGTAACAAGCAGAGGTAAAAAACAAAACAAATGATGAAATACAAACCACAGTGTGTTTCACAGTGATCTCACAGCACAGCACTACAGCACTCAAAATATTACAGCCCCCATTAAGAGCATCATCCCACCCCCAAAGGAGCAGTCAGGAATGGAATGAACTAGTGAGTTTAGGATTGCAAAAGCTGACTTGGATGCCACTTGCTAACTGGTATACATATAATGTCTGCAGCAGGCATCATGGCACCCAGTATACCTGGCTACTTAGTATAAAGATCCCCTCTCATATAAACAACCCACAAAAGTGCAGACTGTCAGCAACGCGCGATGAAGCTCTGAAGACCGACAGAGAGTAATGCCCACAGCTAACAATACCGTATTCTTCAGTTTTTCTAGACACTGAGATGTTACATTCACTCTTCTTACCAGACACCACCCTCTTCCTCAGCAGTGGCCACAGCAAAACCATGCCAGGAGGAAAGCTGAGAGGTGACAGGGATGAGGCACAGCTACAGCCGCTGCCCAGCTCTACACTCGCCCTTAGCTCACCGAGTTACACCAGATGCAGACAACATTTATGCCAGTCATGGCTTACAGTAAAGTGGGCTTAAAGATAAATGTGAACAACACACACCTTTAGCATAACTTCTATAAGTACTAAAATGAATTCTTTAAATACTTAAAAAGACAGCACTGAAATATAGAAACAATAAAACACAAAACTTTATTAATACACGCAAAATTACTTTTATCAAAAGTACATACATAAGAAACTTCTGAAATAAAATCTATAACACTAGTTCTTTTGATACATATTCTTTTTTTGTTTTACTTTTCTTACAGAAACTGTTACACCAAATACCCACGATCATGAATTAGATAGATATCAAATGTCACTTTAAATGATTTCTTTTGCATGCGTATGTTAACATCATTTGTCTTCTTA